AAAATTCCTGACCATCCTACAAACCAAACTATAAACTCAAAGGACCCAAACATTTTAGCAGTTACAGAGGCTCTGCCTGTGGCTTTGCCTGTTTCAAGTGCTGCTATACAGCCACCAGCTCCGTATACCACCTGTTCCTTAATGGGTGCAACTGGATGTAAAGCAGCATTTCATCATGTTGGAAAGTGGTCATTACGCCTCAAAGGCTGCCCAAAATTATGCTTGGGTGGGAACAGAAAATGTTAAATGTGAGAAAATACAGCACAATCCTGTCATGCTGATCTATGCTTGTCATATCTATGCTTGAGAGGGAAGTGTGTGGAACTGCTTCAAAGGAAATGGAAAAAAAAACCAAGGACAATCTACCCCAGTTCATATTTTTCCAAACTGATGGATTCGAATCAAGCAAGCCTCATACTGCTTGCAGCAATAATGTCATGAAGGTACTATTATAAACTGTATTTAAGCAGGAAAATACCTATTAATATAAAATTCCACTCCTTACTTGCAAATTAAGCAAAATCAGCGAAGTTGTAATAAATTAAACCAAGTTTAGAAACAAAACACAGCCATGTGATAAACACATCATCCATTGTATTAAACAGCTACAGCGATTCTGTATGCAGTTCCACTGCTACAAATGGATCCCACTTTGGAACAGAAAGCTAAAATAGATGTACTTACATGGTATCACACTATATAAATATTCCATTTTATTTTCCTTATTAGTTCAACACCCTATCATCAGACTCTCTTTCACTGGGTTATTTCAACTATGTTCTCTGAAAGTGCAAATTTAAAGCCTGAATTTTATTCAAATCATGTGCTCAAAAATATTTTTAACTACTTAACTACAGTTTTAGAAAAGGTAAGGAAAAATGTTTATATATTTATTTTAAGAAGATGAATTAATCAAACACATACTCAGAGGTATACCCATACATGAGCCCAGCATACTGAGGTAACATCACTTGCTGAAGAAACAGCAGCACATGAGGAAACACATGCACCTGAAATAGAATACTCAGTGCGTAGGCTGCGAAAATTGTATCATGATTCAATAATTGTATCATAAAAAGAAGAGACTTTATGCAAAATGTAAAGATAAGCCTTTTCTTTTCATGAAAGTGTTGGTGTTACTTCTTAATAAAGGATTTCAACACATTAATTATTACCTGATTCGCATACTATGGAGCCTGGCTTCAGTTCTAACATCATGGTGATTATAGAGATGTCAGTGGAATACAGAATCTGCGTCCTGTGTGGAAGATTCATGGTCCACAGTTCTGGAGTTGGATGAAGAATAAACACCCATCCTCCTTTACTGCAGGTTACTTTGGAACCATACTTCTTGCCTATGAGGTCTGTGGAATGCCTGATGACCCCATACTTAGTCTGAGTTACAGTGCCATGTTGGACTTTCACAGGAAACATGGATTCATGGCCCAAGAACACAATAGCTGTGTCACCATCCTTTATTGTATCTCCATATTCAGCAAAACTCATTGTGACAGTCTTGTAGCTTGCTGATAGTTGTCACCTAGAAGAGAATAAATATGTCAAGAGAGTTCTGAGGCATCATGATGGAGACATAAACTGAAGTAATTTCATTTTCCCCAATACCAAACAAAAACACACTGTGCAAATATGTTAGCAAGAGAACTCCACAAAGTTCAGGAACCTCCTCCCACTGCACTCTTGATCTAATTAAAATCAATTGAAAGGTCCCACAGATTTGAATATAACCAGTATTTTTCCCATTTTATGGTAAATTTTAAAGAAAATTTAGAAAATACATTACAATTTACTCAGCCTGCTCCACAATACTGAGAAACCTGCAAGTTACTAAAATGTCAGCACTGTTCAATTCCACCTCACAAGCTCTCAAGAGTCTAAGATCAGTAACTCTCAGAGTTGTAACTCTTCGTTATACCACAGGCTCTTAAGTGGTAAATTTTATTTCCATCTGCTGGCTTTACCATGGTGGTTTACAACACAAGACAATTGTTATTTGCCTGGGTATAAATCCAGTAACAAAAGTTTATTTGAAAGTTTTCCAAATGAAGATTTAGAGATAGGATAAACATAGTATATGCATTAATTTATGCATATATTTAACTAACTACAAGGATAAAAGAATATTGTGGCCTTTAATTTGCCATCAGGGGCATAAAGCAATTGTCTGGGAAATGATCTGTGCTGCAACTAAACTTAGACAACCATCTGCAAGGTAATACAAACAGTTGTATTATTTTAGCTCCATGGTATCGAAGTTGTTTAGAGAATTACAATTAAATTTTGGTTTTGAGAAAATCTAAACATTAGAAGGCACATTACAGTGAAACTTGATGCTGCCTTTCAGATAAGGCAGCTATCTAAACTGAAGGTTGATCAGTTCATGGGAGGAATAGTTTAATGAAGTAATGGTCATTCCAAAGTTTTCTAACCTCAAACCCTAAGACAGAAGGCTTTGAAAGTCAGATTTCTCAGACTTCTGGTACTTTCTTCCATGACAGAATTAAAAGCAGTGTTACTTTTAGCTTCAGAAAAATGATTTGATTCCACCACTTCTGTACTGCAGGCATGACAGCCTGGTCTGACTTCACTGTTTTAATGAAACGCTTTTTGTTCTAAAATTCTAGCTTGTTTTTGTTGACTGAAACTCGGCATAGTTCAGTTTGCTGTTAAGCAGCTCGATTTATAACTTTTCCACTGCAGTCACTGAGACTGATAAACAGATGCGCTTGTGTCCAAAATTTCCAAAGTTTATGACATGCTTATTGCATAATGTATTCAGATGCCAAAGCAGAATAGGCCTGCCTGGACATATGGCGAAATAGTAAGAAGGGCATCCCATGAATTCAGAAATGTATATATACTGGACTTTGTGAGATAGTACAAATGCTTAACCAGCATAGCATAGCTTGCACTGTCTAATTACATTCCAGTTTTAAACTTTCAGAAATGGCATTTGTAGCTCTCATTCTATATAGCATTAAAGCAATGTAGTTTTCAGCTCTCAGTAAGAATAGTACCATTTGAAAGGACTTTTATGGTAACCCATTTATTTCATGGTAGTTAGACTGTAGTTACACCCTTGTGCAAAAGCAACATTCCTTCAGTATGTCAGGGGCATGGAGAAAATTATTCTCCCTTTGATTACACAGACTGATTTCCAGTTTCTTTGCCTTCCTTTGAGCCGCCAGACTTAGCACAGCTAAGTGTCACCACACTGCAGGCTGAGATCCAAGTGTGAGAAATCTCTCAGATCTCACCTGGCACATTATATTCATACATGGGGTAAATGCAGGGTCTTTGGTAGTTTTGTCTCCCCTATGCCAAGGGGCACAGTAATCTACGAACATTCATTTTCATGCATTTTTAATCATTTTCTGTTCCATACCACTACAGAGCCTCATACACTGTTCTTACATTTCTCTTCCCAAGTAGCATACAGGTATCTTGGTACACAGTTACTTTTGCCACTAGTGCTGTGTGGAGTGGAAGGGAACGCAAGGCAGTGCCTTGTGGCAAGGGCTTAAAGCTTTTCTATGGGCCATGACTGGAGCGACCTAAACTCAAATGACCCAAGCAATCTCTCAGCAGCCTCACGAATTAAACAACTAAAACGATTCTGTGTTCCCGTCAGCCAAAACCCAGATACACCTCTCTTGACCAGCTACCACGCAGTCCTGGCACGCTGCCTCTTCCCTCTCCGAGAAGCTTGGCTGCTTGACAGGGCAGCACAGGCAACCTCCCGAGGAGGATGAGGAGGCAGGCATAACCCTCTCACCGCGGGGCAGCACAGGGCGCCGGTAACACGCAGGCCGGTGGCCCACCCAGAGCGCTGCGGCTCCCGGGCTCTTCCTCCCTGCGGCCCCACAGCTGAGGGTCGTGAGGGTGGTAACGCAGCTCCCGCGCCCTGGGAGCATAGGAGCCGGTCCCAGCGGAGGCGGGCACGTAACGGCTGTGCCGGGGCAGTGTCAGGGTTGACGGATGTAATTCGGTATTTGCTGAGGGAGGATTAAAAGCACAGACAGGGCAGGGAAGGAAGAGAAAGGGAAAAAGCTCGCCGGCAGCGTCAGAGGAGGGATTAGCCTGGAAGAGAGCAGTATTAAGCCGTGACGGGCCAGAGCGGCGACTCCCTGGGCCGCCGCCGCCGCTCCTCGGGGCCTTGCGTTCCCCCCAGCAGCCACCAACTCTCCCCGTCCCCCAGAGCCGTTACCTTCCGGGACTAAGCCCCGCCAGCAGGCCCGGCCCGGCTCTCCTCACACGCGGTACCCGCCCCGCGCCTCCTTCCGCCCCGGTCGCAGCCTGCTGACGCTCCCGCCGCCTCCGCCCCGCCAGCCCTGCTTGCAGCCGGGCGGCTGCCGCCGCCCGTTCCCGGCGCTGTGAGCCCTAGGTCTCGCAGCCCGTTCAAGCCGCCCGGCCATCAGCCTTCCGTGCCGTTGGCCGCCACTGCCCGACCTTGCCTCCCCTCCTTTCCGCTCTCCTTGCTGGGTCCCTGACAAAGGAGGACAGTCACCGGCAGCACTCCGGGGTGATCCTGCCTTGGGGGGGGAAGCGTTCCCAGCGGCTGTGGGCACAGAGGGGCAGCCGCCCTCTCGGTGAAAGTTGAGGGGCTCAGTGGGCCATGATGCGGCCTGATGGACCCAGTGGGAACTCACCCATCAAGCATGCCAGTGGGGGAGTCTTGAAGGCCAATACCAACAGGGGTAAAGCCCCTTCCCCAAGGAATGACTCTGCCTGTACTGCTGGTGAGCCTGGCCCTCACTTCCGGCACCCAGGCAGGCAACTCCCAGAAAGTTCTGCCACCCTACCCCATAGCAGCCTGCTTGGGGAAAGGCAACTCAAGGCTGCCAGAGTTCTTCATACAGGTTTCGTAAGGCTGTAGGAGAAACCACAGTGTGGGCTGAGAAGCAGCGGAACTGCTATCTAAACACCAAATAACATGGTATTAACTCCTCTGTCATGTTGAGGACTGTAGTGATCTAAGAGCCCTGTGTGCCCCTGTGGTATTGGGGATGTAGTCAGGATGACCAAAGAAAGAGTATTGCCTCATCTGCTTGCAACAAGCCCAGGGCACCTGGCATGGGACGGATATGGGCATAGGAGAGAGCATGTGAATCACCCTGGACATGCAGCTAACATTCCCAGCTAATCAGATAACGCTCTGTATGGTGCTGTGTTCACCAGTAACTTGTAATGCGCAATAGTGGCAAAAAAGTCATCTGTCCACAATCAAGAAATCAGGAATGGAGAGCCGTTTAGATGACAATTTGTGATTTTTTTTTTTAGATGAATGTGAATCCATCAAGTATAAGGGGATTTTTGCCCATTACCTTCAGTGAGAACATATTTTTTGTTATGCTTTTGACCTGCCCATATCATAATTGCAGTAGTCTTTGTTATTTAGTTATGAAACTCTTCTCCATCTAATCTAAATATAATGTATGCAGTTTCAGAGGTTTCTTAAACTGCAAACTCCTACTCAGCTGTTTTTCTGACTGGCAATTATGGCTCTACTGTGTCTTTATATTTGCACCTACCTTGTTTTTTTCCTGTCATTTTTACTGTCATTGGTTATATATGTACCTTTCCCATGATGAACTGCTGTTCAGATCACTGTGGGTCTGAGTGTATGCAAGATCAAGACACTCAGCAACTCCTAGTTTCCACAGGCACTCAGCTCACTGGAAACGATCAGTACTTTTTCAACAGACTGCCTAAGCAGTGTAAAAAAATACACCAAGGATAATAACTAGGCAAATATATTTTAAGCAGCAAATGTAAATGGGAAGAGAAGTTTCAGTTCAGAAATTATGCAGATGCAGCTATAACCAATTTCTTTAATCTACTGACAAGTGTTTAATTTTTCAATTGTCAGGTAGGAATTGGAAACAATTCAACTGTTTTAGTAAATAACTTTTTCTTGCTGTTTTCTAATGTGGTATATTCTTCTAGATTTTCAAGAAGATCCTAATTCTTCAGGTTCATCTTACGTTCATGCAAGTAATTTCAGAAGACACATTCAGTAGCTAACACCCATCTCTTGCAGTTGTGCACTACACAACATTTATAATTAAGCCTCTTAGGAAGTTAGCTGCATGGCCCATGATTAACTTCCCTTAATTCTTTATTGTTAAAGCTCAGTGCAGAGACCTCTGGAGTAATCACCCCTCCTTTCCATCCTGAGCTGCGGAACGGCAACGTGGTGTGTAAGTCAGCATGCACTACAATGTCATCCCAGCATGGAAGGTAAGTATTGGTGCCTTTATCACAGTCTAACAGGCCATACCGGCTTATCCAAAGAAAGTCTCAGCAGATGAGCGAGATAAAACGGTTGATCAGAGGCTGTTGACACATGGCACAGCATCTATAATTAAGTCACTAGGGAAGCTGGGATGGGATACTGTAAGAAAGGTAGGATCCAATTTACACACAGCTTTCATCAAATCTTAAAATGCTGTCTGAATAAAACCCAGTGAGGCAGAAGCCACTGCTGACTTACTGCAGGCCAGAAATTTGTCAAATAGTGGTGAGGAACATGAGGCAGAGGGTGCACTGTTTATTAAACACATAAATTTGGTAAATTTTGGTCGGTTTGCACTCTTTGTCTCTTTCCATGTCTTCTTGTTGGAAGTTTTGTGAAGAGGTGTCTGTGTCAGAACAGCACATTGAGAATATATTCGTTTATAATAATGACTGGTATTCCCTGTTCTACAGGACTGGGAGGGGAAGATCATGTCCAGTGAATAGAAATGGATTCTTGGATTTTGGCTCTTGAGGTGGCCTTGACTGAACGAATCTACAGAACAATTATGGTACATAACAGCTGATTGCTTCTCTGTGCGGCAGTAGATTATGAAATAAGACAAAATGAGCCTTCAGTACCTACCCTGATACGCTTTTTTTTTTTTAATGAAGAAAAACACTGCAAAAGTAGCGTGTCAGAAATATTCTTGATTTTTTTTTTGTTGTTCTAAATTAAAAATTGAATCTGAGTGGTTTACATTAAAAAAATATCCACAACCAAAACTATCTTTGCCACTGAGGTCATCCTCATTTAGCTTGAGGACTCTGGGTAGAATTTTACACTTACATTATTTGCAGTTTACACAATTGTGAAGCATGAGCATTGTGTGAAACTAAAAGTAAAACACAGAGGAAGATTTTGTGAGGTTAAAAAGAGGAGACCTAGAGAGAAGATTTGTTCTTTGATATGGGAGATAAAGAGACAGGACTTGCACAGATGCTGAGCCCTGGGCTTCTGCTGGAGATCTGTGTTCTCAGCATCTTGGTCTATCAGGCCTGGAATAATGTGGAAATCTGGATGGCAGCCAAACACAGTGCATTTTCACTTGAAGCACTCTGGGTTTTATTTTGTAATTATTTCCTCTAGGTGTATGTTACTTTTTTTAAAATCCTTATCAGTTCTGTAAGTGCATGTGCGTCCAGTTGTTAAGGTAAGGGTAGTGGCTCTGGTGCCAAAAGAATTGTGGAGGGAAAGAGCTCCAACTGATGTCTCCTGATACTCAGAACTTGGGTCAAAGAAAGCAACTCTGCCACTCGGATCTGCATTCACCTGGGTAAGTACACGCTGTTTGGACAGGAGGATAAATGTGGGTTCTGCTGTGAGAACTACATGTCATAGGAAGATAAACTATTATGAAAAGGTGAAAGATCAAGATAGTCACACTGTTAGTGTATTTATTTCAGCAAACAATGGGATCCTCAATTGCATCTTATATTTGGGATAAACCCTGCTGATTCCTACAAATAGTCCAATGAAAGTCACTATTTTCACAGATTTCAGGTGGACTTTAGATGGGTCAAATCCCAACCTTCCTCCTTCCATCTTCAGTAGGAAAATCAGCTGCTCTCCAATAAAGATTAAGCTTTTTTTTTTTTTTTTTTGGCCCATGACAAGAGCAGGAGACTCTCTGCTTTTCACAACCACTTTGAAAGGAGCCATTTCCTTCCAAATTAAACTGTAAGGTGAGCCCACAGACTCACAGGTGTTGGAGGCAAGGTGCAGGGCAAGCAGCAGGACCTTTCTCTACAGAATGAGGTGGCTGCTCTTGGGTGCCAGGGAAATTGAGAGACAGGCCTACAGCCACCTTGGTGGCATAGGGACAGTACAGCCCTGCCACTATGAAGCCGTATTTTTATGCAGAGGTGTTACTACACCTGTTACTGAATCTTCAGCCAAGGTGTGAAGCCAGATTGGCAGCAGGCCACATGCCTGCACTGGTGTGCGGTGGCACCCCCGAGATGGGATCCCTGTGTGCATGTGCGTGTTCAGTGGGGCCGACGAGGCGCTGCTGCCGCTCGATTGTGGAGAGCGGCTCGGACGGGAGCCCCCAGCCGCACACCCAACGCCGCCCAGCTTCCCCTCCGGAGACAAGCAAAATGGCGGCAAGCGCGGGCCCAGCCAACGGCAAACACCCACCCCGCCTTACCGCGCCTGGCCAATGGAATGAATGGGCTATAAATAGCGGCCAATAGGGCGGCGGGTCGCGCTCTATATAAAAGAGGCACGGGAGCGGTGCGGCGCTCCACTCAGCTAGGGCAGCAGTGGGGAGCGGAGAGCTTGGAGGTTCTTGCTGCGGAGCCCTAGGTAAGTCCTGGGGCAGCCGAGCCGTCTTGTAGCTTTAAAATAAGGTTTAGTTAAAAAAACACGTTTTTTTAAATTATTTTTTTTGCTCCACTGTGTGGAGTGACCCGGTCCCGCTGAGGAAGGGGAGCGGGTGCGGCGAGGGGCAGCACAGGACAGGGACGCCCGGCTGGGGCGGGGGGTGCGGCGCGGAGCTCCTGCGGGGTGGGGCGCAGGTGCTTACTTGGTTTGCCCTCAGCTGGAGCCGGCCCCGTTCTAAAACGAGATTAACCCGGTATTTAGCAGGGTAGTTATATATGTTCGCCTCAGCCACGTCCCCTGAGGGAGCCGTCTGTTGTGTAATGGGGTCGTTGGATGCTTCCCACCACTCCGCTCCCAAGTAGGGAGCAGCTGGGGGCGCGGAGGGTGCCGGGTGCAGCAGATCTTTCTCTAGCCCAGCAGTGGCGGTTGGAGGCGCGGCCGCCTTCAGAGCGCATCACAGAGCCGCCCCGCTCACCTGCCGCCCGGCGCGTGGTCCTGGTGGGGCCGTGCTTTCACCCCCCCCTAACCCGCGGCGTCCGGGCCGCTTCCTCTTCCCGGAGCCGCCGGCGGGGCTGCCCCGAGCTGCCACGGCCGCTCCGCGCGACCTTGGGCGCGTCCGTTGACCCGGGCGGTGCCCGAGTCCGTGCCCTCGCGGAGGGAATGTTGGAGGACCGGGCAGAGCTGGGGGTGATGAAGAACTTTTTCCGTTGCTCCTTTGTGGCTCTTGCGGAAGGTGGTGTGGCAGCAAAGGTGTGAAAGGCACGGGCGGAATGACAGCCAAGGTGACCTTGCCTGGGTGCCTGGCTTCCCCCGGGCGGTCCGGAGCCTGCCAAACCTCCGGTGATAGGCTTCCTCTTTTTCTTCCCAGTGACTGCAGGTAGGGGCAGACATGCCTTTCTCAAACACCCACAACCTCCTGAAGCTGAACTACTCTGCCGATGATGAGTTCCCTGACCTGAAAGCTCACAACAATCACATGGCCAAGGTGCTCACCTTGGACCTGTACAAGAAGTTGAGGGATAAGCAGACTCCCAGTGGCTTTACGCTGGATGATGTTATCCAGACTGGGGTTGACAACCCAGGTAATGGCGGGGGGCCGTTAGATCTGCATAATGATGATCTGTTCTCCCTCCGTACTGGAAGTGCTTTTTGACAATGGCATCCAAAGCTCTTCAGTTACTAAGAGGCAAATCTTGTAAAGCACTGAAAGACGGCTCTAAACGTGTGGCTGGTTAAAAGGGGCCATGTTCTGTCAAGCCATGTTGCTTGCTGTGATCTGACATACTGATTTCCAGACACTTCAATTATGTAACTGCTCTGCTAAGTACTTTCAATCAGAAAAGAAAAAAAAACCAAAACCAACCCAAATGCGTTCTAGTTAGAACACAGTGGTGAAAAAGAAAGTCAGCTTACCTGGCTGTTCTGGTCTGATTCTATTCCAAACTGGTTATGTGATGTTCTTTAGCACTTCTATGAAAAAAGGGGAACAGATGTGTTTATATGTTAACGTTACAGTATTTATTTTTACTCTAGCAATATCAAAATGGCCCAACTAAATAATCAGAGACTGCCTCCTGATGAGGAGTATCCGGACGTGAGAAGCCACAACAACCACATGGCTAAAGTTCTAACCCTGGATTTGTACAAGAAACTGAGAGACAGAGTCACACCCAGTGGCTTCACCCTGGATGATGTCATTCAGACTGGGGTTGATAATCCTGGTAAAATGCGTTGAGAATATTCTGTGTGAGCCAGCTGAAATAACTGGTGCTTTTGAATATGGTGACTTAAAACTAATCTTGTGGAGGTGGTGTTCATGAGCAGACTGCAGAAGTACAGCTCTGTAGCAGAAGAAACAAAAATTGAAGCATTCTTGCTTACAGCAAAGCATGATTGCTAAGACAAAAATTTCTGTCTGGTGTTCTAAATTAGCTAGTGAAACTGGATATGCTATGTGAAATTGTCCTAAACCAAGCTTGACAAATGAGTGTGGTTTAATGGCAACAGCTATGGGTTTCCATAGTACTGCATTTGACTGACTGGATTAAGTGTAAAATGTAGGATCTCTCCAAATGTTTTTATGTAAGGATGCATTTCTAAGTGACTAGACCTACCACTACAGAACTTGCCTGGTTAGTGCTATACTGGAGTACAGCCAAACATCACCTATACTTAGCTCTTCTGATTTTACTTCAGGCCATCCCTTCATAATGACAGTAGGATGTGTAGCTGGTGATGAAGAATCCTATGAGGTGTTTAAGGAACTTTTTGATCCAGTTATTGAAGACAGGCATGGTGGCTACAAACCAACTGATCAGCACAAGACAGACCTGAACGCTGATAATCTGCAGGTATAAACTTTTGATCGATTACTGATGCCTACTGGTCTGAGGACTGGGTAGAGTTGTTGGCAGCTGCCTAAAATGATGGCTCAGGCTCTGTTCCCTGCTTTCACCCAGGACGTACCCACAGGCTGTGTGTCCAATGCAGTCAGACTTATGAGGTGGGTTCATGTGCTGCTGCCGTGTCAGTCATGCCAAACATGTTCAACATGTGCTTCCATGAACTGTGGGGCTGTAGTAGTCAGGCTTTAAACCGCACAGTCCTTGGAGTCAAGGACTGTCATAAAACACCATCTGATTTTGGATTCTAAGTATCACATGGTGGTCTCATACTTCAGAATAGACATTGGTATGGCTACAAGTAAGAATTTTTTGCCCATTTAATGGATTTCAAATGTTACTGTAGACTCTAGGAATCCCTAATGCTGTGTTGATTGGCTAGCTAGAGGTCAGCTTGAGATTAGGAGACTTTAGGTGACAGTAGTCAATAACTCTAATTTGCAAGAGTAAACACCTAATTGAATGAGGGTTCAACTCATATTGATGCCTCTAGGTTGCAGATCTGATAAGGTAACAGAAGCCCAGACTGTAGTCTGAAAAGGATGCAAAATCTTCTAGCATGCTTCTATGAACTACTATTCTATGAACTATTCTACTTGGTATCTGTAGCCTTAGTCTCAGAGCAAGTATTGTTAAACAGATAGTTGAGCTAATGCTGAAGACAAAAGGGTCCTGAAGTAAGACCCTTGCTTGCAGGGTAGTCAGTATCTCTGGTATAAGGTGCATGTTTAAATGCATGGCAGCAACATGTATTTTAGGGTAGGTACCTTGACAACAAGGTTGTATCACTGGCTTCCTAATCTTGTAGGGAGGTGATGATCTGGATCCAAATTATGTGCTAAGTTCCCGTGTCAGAACTGGTAGAAGCATCCGTGGATTCTGTCTTCCCCCGCACTGCAGTCGAGGAGAGAGGCGGGCTATTGAAAAGCTCTCCGTTGAAGGTAAAGTGAAAACTGGAGGCATCAGGGAATATTATGTCCTTTGTGCAAGAGATGTTCTTTGCAGTTTGAAAATGGAGGCAGTTGGCAAAAGCTGCCTCCCTCAAGATTTGGTGTGGACATGGAGCCTTCCCTGAAGAAGGCTTATTACATTGCAGCTGCCTTAGCATTGCTGTTTGTAGCTGAGAGTAAGAGCACATGTCAAAGGGAAGTTGTACTGCATTGAGTTGACCTTTGTTGATCTTGAAAGCTTTTTTTCTATGTGTGTGGAGAAAGAGGTTGGTTCATCATGGCTCAAACCTGAAATATAACAGGTATGTAGCAACTTCAGGGATTGAGTCATGGTTGCAGTATATTGTGGCTGCTTTTAATTGACTTTCATTAACATTCAGTTTGCTTAGAGGTGTAGTCTTGCTCCAGATATGCAATTGACTAGAGTAAGCCCTAGTTTTCAGTGGAACTCCTCAGCTGCAGGTTTTTTCTATTGCCTCCCAACTCCATTGAGAGGAAAGGATACACTCAAGGTGCAGTTCTGGAGACCAAGAGTGGTGTTGTTCCAGAACCTCTCAAGGGCAGGGTAACAGTCCTTGACTTAGAATAATGCTGTTTGTTGTATTCGTGACCTTGATTCTCCTTGGAAGAAAGCATGTTACTTCTACTCTTAAGCAGCAGTAATGATCCTGTACGGTATGTAAGGGGGCAATGACTACTTGTTTAAGCCTGAAAGCTGCAGACAAATCATCTGATGCTGCCTTAAGTTCTGTAATGCCACAAAGGCATTGGGATTGCAGATGAAAGCAAGGGAAAAACCAAACCCAGCAGATCAGACATTGCCTTTCTTTGTTTATGGTCTCTAAAGTGCTGAGGATGTCTATCATCTTTGGTCCCATCCTAAAGTGACTCTCTCTTTCAGCTCTGGGTAGCCTGGAAGGTGATCTCAAGGGCAAGTACTATGCTCTGAGGAACATGACTGAAGCAGAGCAGCAGCAGCTGATTGATGATCACTTCTTGTTTGACAAGCCAGTTTCTCCTCTTCTGTTGGCATCTGGGATGGCACGAGATTGGCCTGATGCCAGGGGTATCTGGTGAGTATGTCTGGAAGAGGGGAGCTGTATGAAGTCATTGCAAAGAAAGATCTTGCAGTTTCAGTTACAGCTTGTACTGGGGGCAAAATGGCAGCTTTTGAGCTTGTATTACTGAATCTAATGAGAATCTTGTATGGTATCCTTTGGGGAGGTTGCATCTGAACCAGCAGAATTTGGACAAGTGTTACTATGCCTCACATTGGGCTGATAAGGAACAAGGCAGTTTCACTAGCCTGTAGGTAGAGCCTACCCATCCAGCACAGGTTAGTGAAACCCCAGGCATTAATTGAGGTAGCTTAAGAAAGTAGATTGCTTACAAAGGAGTATATGTGCCACTACATCCAGTTTCTTGTCCCAGAAGCTTAGAGTAACGTGTGGTAATAAGCCATAGTGTTTGCTTAGTTCAGACTTGATACTGAATGCATAGTAGTCTCATCACTTCTGCTTGCAGAAACTCATGGATAACAGACCACTGGAAAGACTTCTCCCCTTGGCCCCAGATATATTTGGTGACATGAGTTGACTGATGCACATATGTGGAATGGAAGGCTTCTGCTTATCAGATATAGGTCACCTACATAAAACTGCATCTCTGGAGCTTCTGCAAGATAATTAACTTGCTCCCTTGTAAGCTAAGGGCTAGGTTTTTATCAGCTGTAGTACTCCAATCTTATTACTGTAGCTGCACTAGGAATACAACACAGAGGAAGCATGCTTTGTTTCTGGAGGTCACCTTCAAGATTGCATCATCTACCTGCAGATTGCCAGCACTAGATAGTGCTGTCACCTGAGCATGACTAATGTAGAAGCTTGAAGTGTAAAGTCTCAGTGTTGCCTGCATAAATAACTTTCCTCAGGTATAGTTAATTTATGATTCTAATCAAGCTGAGAAATTGTCAGCCTGGTAAATATTTATGATAGTGCTTGCTGCCAGCTGCAAGCTAGGACAAGAGGGGCCCATTGGTGTTCAGGGGTTTTTATAATATATCTGAAGAGCCCCAATCAAAAATGAATAGTGAAAAAACTCAACTTAGTTCTCTGTTAAGGTACTAAGTGCAGGTTAACAGAATCTGACAAAATTCTGATAAAAGGATTTGTTAAACTTTGTCAACGTGATGTCATTATGAACATCACTGTACGGGGCTGCCTCAGTCTACAGTGATCACCCTCCTGCAAACTCTGCTGAACAGGGGAAATCCCTTACATTTGTGAGCTTGGGCCACAAGTGAGGATTTTATGTCAAATCTAAGACTGGCTTATGTCATGTACTTGTTCATTCTGTTATGTTTAAGTATAGACTAATTTAAACTACCTCTTGGAAAGAGCAGGTAGCTTAACTCTGTTAGGTCCTGCATGAACAAAAGAAGCAAGAATAATTTCTTGGAAGAAGAAACTAAGTGAGCCTCTTAAAAGATGCAATGATGAGTAATCTGGTGCTATTACAATTACCTTGAAAATGTCAGGTGGGACAGACAAGAAGTTGTTCTCCTTGTTTCCTAGGCACAATGATAATAAGACCTTCCTTGTTTGGATCAATGAGGAGGATCACCTTAGAGTTATTTCCATGCAGAAAGGTGGCAACATGAAGGAAGTATTTACCCGTTTCTGTACTGGGCTAACACAGGTAAATCAATATTGCCTGAACTGTAGGTTTAAATGTTACATGTCTCTCTGGTTAGATCTGAGAATGCAGACTCTATGAAAGCTGCTTGTGGAGCCCTGCATGGTGGTGCTCCATAACCTGGGTCTCTGGGAACACTGATGTAGTCCAGAGCTGTGAGGGCTCTGAAACACTTTCATAGGCAAAGCATTGTGGCTATGAAGTCTAGAATGTGTCCTCTGATACAGCATCCTCACCCAAGTGTTTAAACTGTACTTAAAGGAGATTATACACGGTTTTAGAAATCAAGCATTGAGGTGCCCTGGGTAGGAGGAGAAATTGCTTGAATGTGGATGAGCAAAGCTGGACTGCAGTTTCTAGGCTGAATGCTTCTCTCAGCTTCTGGTCTTGATATGAGCTTGAGCCTTACCAGCCTCTTCCCTAATCCAAACAAATGTGCCAGTTGGATATATACTAAATCAAGCTTCCCAACAGATAGTGACTTGAGATTTTGTAGTGTAGTTTAAACTTAGCCTGTCCCAGTGCGAGGAGCAAGGGCCTTAAAAGCCCCTTGTTGGTGGCCCATCTTTTCCCAATGGAGGGAACCTATGTGACTGATATAAATAGCTGTTCAAACTGTTGAGGCTGTTGCTATATAACTGAAGCTGTAAATGAGCACTAATGGATGACCTACATCCTTCATGCAGTGAGCAATCTCTAAATGTCCATTCTCTGCATTTATAGATAGAAAATCTCTTTAAGTCCAAAAACCACGAGTTCATGTGGAATCCACACTTGGGCTACGTCCTGACCTGCCCATCCAACCTTGGAACAGGGCTCCGTGCTGGTGTGCACATCAAGTTACCAAACCTTGGGAAACATGAGAAGTTTGGAGAGGTCCTCAAGAGACTGCGGCTTCAGAAGCGAGGCACAGGTGAGAGGTTGTAGTGGTGCCCTCGTCAGATTGCTCTAAGATGCCAGTGGAACCCTGACTACAGTCAGAACAATGTCTTGGTTCACACTGGCAGTGCCTGTCAGACCATTCAAAAGGTACATACATGGAGAGAACCAAGCGTTAAAATTGCATCTTGGAGGAGGTGGAGGTGCAAGTGCACTGTGTAGGCCTTACTGTATCTGCCTGTTTAGGTATGTTCTGTATGTGGTATTCTTAGCATCAGATAAGGTGGAGCTGGTGGCAGCTGTTCTGTTGTAAGCAGGGATGGGAATCCTGATTTAACTTCTGGCTAGGAAATAGTTGCAGTGGGTGTGTCTAACCACAGGTTAGACTGCTCATGGGGTTAAAAGAGTAAAAAGCTGGCCTAATGTCATGTTGGGTGGCTCATTTTGGCAGTCACATGCAGCTTTATCTCCCTGTATGCAGGAGGCAGCAGCACTTGTAGAGAATTGTCTTGCTGTGTTGCCCTCTCAGGCTAGTGAGGGAAGAAAGGTAGAACTTGCCTACTCTAGCTGTGGTCAGTGTGCTAACTCTGTCTCTTGCTCCAGGTGGTGTGGATACAGCTGCTGTTGGAGGAGTGTTTGATATCTCCAATGCTGATCGTCTTGGCTTCTCTGAGGTGGAGCTGGTGCAGTTAGTGGTGGATGGTGTGAAGCTGATTACTGAAATGGAAAAACGCCTTGAAAAAGGCCAGTCTATTGATGACCTCATGCCAGCTCAAAAATGAAGCACTTTATTTTCATGCTTCCTAACTTATTGGATGAATAATGTCACTCCAGTTCAAACCCCTGGGTTCAGAGCCCACTTAGTTACACTGTAGAGAAGTCTTCCATCCATCCGTGTTAGAGTTTATTTTTTTGATGGTTGAGATGTTGCTGAAAATAAACTGTTGTTTTGGCCTGAACTGTCTTAGATGTGTTAACTGAATGTCTTTGAGATTTCAGTGATTTGATTTTATTAGTTATGCTAGAGGGGCTGGTTTTGCTAGCTAGCACATCTTCCTGGCTGTGCTTCTGCAGTCCACTTGAGCTGTGGTTAAGGCAATGTCAAAAATGAACCTTTAACTTGATTGTAGTTGGTGTAAACTTGAGAACTAGTGTTAAACATGAGTCACAGCAAACATGCCCTACCTCCAAGGCTTTGGCTTGTGCATCTGCTCATGCTAACTGTAAGCTGTCATTATCCCGACTACAGTGAGCAAGGCTGACCCCTGTAAGGTAGGGGAGACAGACCTGGGTACAAAGGGCTACTGTTTTCAGTCAGGTCCTCCTGGAGCTGCAGGGCAGTGCTATGAGGTCAGACTTCAGCCCATAATAATACTGACACTGAGCTAGCTTGTGGGGACAAGATCACATGTTTAATCTATGGATGTGCAAAGAGTTGGTGTAAACAACTAATTGCCCTCTTTGGAAGAAGGAAGGAAGGTGAAACTTACTTACATTAAGCCTATGCTGTAACTGGTTTCACCTCAGCTAGGAAAGAGATGGGGCATGTAAGCTGCCAGTCACAGGAAAATAAGTAGATAAGATAAATCTCTTCATCTGACTCTTGCTGGGCTGTATACCAGTTGTTCCATGGATGGAAAAATGAGCAGCATAGTCAAAGCATGCTAAGTGGTTGGGCTTACAAGCTCAGGCAGCCCTCTGGGTGTGAGCTTACAGTGTTGGGTCATGTAGGTCTGTTGTCCAGAATCGCTGTAGTTTGTGTACACATGTGCTTGCTATGTGGCAGCATCACATTAACCTACAAGATTAATATTGAGAGCTAGGAGCACTGGACCCTTAGAGACAACAGCTTTTGCAGCTAGTGCAACCTGGGAAGCAAATAGCACCTGCTCAACAGCTCTACCCACTGCTGAAACCTTTTATAGCGGGAGCATGATGAAAGGTTGATGCATAGCTTCACAGCATGCAGCTTTATATAGGTTTGTGTCAAAAACTGAAGCTTTCTTTTGTAAAGGCTGTGGTATTTCAAAGGCTGATTGCAGGCTGTCACTTAGCTGAAGTGATGACTCCAGCTGGGGTAAGCTGATTAAATTGTGGTGAGGGAAAAGCCGAGGGAACATCTCAGATGAGTTTTTTATTTTAAATATAGCTTTCTACTTGATTCAGAATTAACTGGGTGGGGAAGAGGAGGTCACACGTAAGAGCTTAGTTTTGTGCTGGGTGATGATCCTGTATTTGAGTTAATCAGCACAGGCGTTTTTCTGTTTGAGGCTTGTGAAGGAACAAAAAATGGTGCAAGTGACAACTGTTTGGTTCTGTATATTCTTCAAGTCCCCCTTGCTGTGCTGCTTGTCACTGTTCACAGATGCTTGACAAATACCTGGTTCTGCATCTTGTAATCAGAAGGTGTTCAGTTAGTGGTGCTTCTCTTGAACAGGGCGTCACTACTGCACTCAAAGCAATTACTTAATGGAAGGAGGGTGTCTGAAAACTTGTCTGTTTCTTTCTAGCTGTATCAGCTGGAATAAAAAAAAAATCTCTCCCTATGCATCTTGTTTCTTTTATGTCCTCAGCCCATCGGAGCTGCTACATCTCTGACTTGTTTTAGCCCCTGGGTCCCTGTAGTCTGAGACAGAACTTGTAACTGGCTAAAAAATAATGGCCAAAGCAGTAAGCCAGTCTTTAATGCTTGCATCCAACTAGAAAATACTTCTCCTTAATTGGTTTTCTTTCCCAGCCACCACCACCTTTGCTGTGTTCCCTCCTGTTGCTGCCACGAGGACTAACGCGACTGCTTTTGTTTCAGCTCCTACAAAACAATTGACAATATTCCAGAGAATGAGCATGTCACAACAAAAGGCTGGACATGGCTAAGAACCTGTGATGGAGAGAAATTCAACCTCCCACCCCCTCAACTTAAAGGCTTTGGTTTCTCAGCATTACTGCTGTGCCCTCAGATACTGCAGCTGTGCAAAGTAGGACACACACAGCGGCCACTCACTCATGCCTCGGGCACCTGAAGCTGTGCTGGGCAATGGCAGGCTGCCTTGGCCTTAAACTGAGGGGAGGAGAAGGGAGGCTACCAGTTTCTGCTGTGCTTTATACAAGGGAGCTGCAATTACCATTGCTGGCAGAGCCACTCATGTCACGTAGCTTTCAGGAAGGACATGGGAGCTGGCATGGCCAGCAGAGCCCTCTGGATGGGTGAGCTCATCCTCTGTGTCACACCCAGCAGGGCTGGCGGCGTTTCTCACCCAGCCTGGAGCACTGCACCGGCTCCTCCGCTGGCCAAGAAAGTGCTGACGATGTGCGGGTGTGGACGGGGAGGAGAGGGGCCAGGGAGCCCTCTGGGCTGTGCAGGCACAGGTTGCATTTCTCTTCAGCTGAACTTCTCTGACTTACAGGTTCGGAAACAGCGATCATTGCTGCTGTCCTGCTGCTCAGCAGTCTGTCAGCTGCAACACGGGCCTTATTGTGTTGGGCTCTTTCACTGCCTTCACATACCCTGCTCCCACAGGCTGGCATGTCCCTCCACTGCTGGCCCACTGCTTGAAACATGCACTGGTTTTATAACATTTCCAAAGGGAATTTCTTTTTGTCATTGCCTTTTTCTTCTTTTTGAACATTTCTGTCTTCCTCAGGCAGTAGCTGCCTCACCCCAGCATGTGTGCAATGGCCATGGAGGGTAATGCCAGCACTGGAAGCAGCCACCCAGCCCAGTCCCCTTCCCTTTCAGCACACAGGGCACAAGCAGCGCGTCCTTATTCAAGAAATCAAGCTGCCTAAGAGCACATTTACCTCTCACATGACACGTACTGGCAGTAGACTGCCCATAAATGCTCCTTATTCCACTTCCATGCTATCTACTGGAAAATTATTCATAGCCTTTCCCCCGCTTGTAGACTAAGCCACACAAAGGATGGTGGTAAGCTCAACATTGTGGCATTGACAATGGGCATGCTTCCATGCCGTGGGAAGTTCCCAGGCCTGAGTGAAGTGGTCAAGCTCCCCACATGCTCCCTTGTGCCCCCAGCCAAGTGAGGGGAGAGGACAGCAGCTTCTCATGAGATAGATACAAGTGCTGCAAGGTTTCCAATGTGGTGGCCAAGCTGTGTGACTCTTCTCTCACAAAATCTAAGTATAAGAGCACGGTGGGTTTATCTGCAGGATGCCTGTGTCAGCCCAGCCCGGGGTGCAGGAGGCTGCTGCTCAAGTTCTGCCCTCTGTCAGGGATCCTCTGTTGGCTCACCCCCAACCACAACCAGGGCCAGGGCAAGGCTGTCCTCCAGCTTTCCATTTTGCCCAGCATGTATTAATCCATCACTAGGCCAAGTATGAAAGGAAAGGTGCTACTGCCTAACACCTCCAGCGCCCATCTGGGAGAGAGGAGGTTTAGGCTCCACCCTGTCCTCATATGAACATTACCATGTTTTCACACAATGTGGAGTTGCTCGAGCCGGAGAGTTAAAGTGATTCTATTTAATCTGTTTTTTTTCTCCACCCTCCCACACACAGACTGTGGTAGCGTGGTGGGCAGGGCACCCGTCTGAGAATGGAGACGGCATCACTGCCTTTTCATCTCCTGTTTACTTTGCTTTTCCCCCTGGGGACGTGGCAGGCCAGCAGGTTCCTTTGGCTGCTCCAGCTGGTCTGCCTTCCCACTCGCCTAACATACCATAGTTAGAAAGCTGGGAATAGCCTGAGTGACCATTTGCTCAGCCCGGTGGGACAGGGCACTTCTTCACCATCATAGGGCTTTGGTGGCTTTTATTTGTGCCCAGTGAGGAGCCAAGCCTAGCAATGGAGGAGGACACCCCATAGCCTAAGCTGTTGAGATGAGAGGCTAATCAGAACCAGGTCTCTTGCATGGAGTGACCCTCTTCCCCTGGTTTTGATGTGTTAGGATTTATTTTCTTACAGGAATCATGCAAGCTCCTGACCAGCTCCTTTCCGAGGCACAATCTGCCCTTGGTTCCCAACCACACAGCGCGTCTGCATCACTGCATCGAGCTGCTGGCCACTGCGTGGGAAACCCAATGGCAAGGGCTGCCCTCAGGCTGCAGAGTGCTTGTACGTGAAGGTACTGGGTGTCCCCCTTCCGCCTTTGGAAAGAACATCTCTTTTTGTGCAGGTGCTGCCTGGAACCAGGCTGAGTGCTCACTGAGTGCTGCACCTACAGCACCCACAATGTGGGTCTGGAAATTAAACTGGCAGCGTGGACTCAGACTGGGATTGACAACGGGAAAATCTGCATTACCAGACAGGGTAAAAATAAACAGAGAAGCATCCAAACCTACCCAAGAGTTTGGTTTTCCTCCTCCAGCCAGTGAGTAAGACTATAAGAAATCATGCATATATGTATTTATATTTATATGTACATATGTATATTTTTGTATACGTGTTCACATATATATGAACTTTCAAAGGCCAGAATGTCTCATGCTCAACACCTGGGAAATTGATAGAAAAATATGAACATTGAGGTTTTTAATGACTGGGAAAATCTTCAGGTAAAAATACAGAATGGGAAACCTGAAGCATTCTATAATGCAATTTCAGAATAAAACCAGAATTGAAGACTAATTTGACAGATACACACACAAGCTCCAGATCTCTGTAAAGGTCTCAGCTTGTCACCATGCTCAGTACAGGTGGGTGCAAGGTTCTGCTCATTCTAGATCAGTTTTTGATGACCAGAGAGTAAAACTGAGAATGAGCCATGCTGAGGGGACCTTGGAAGTGTCAGCTTACATTTTGCTTATTGTGATGGTCTTTGATGGTAGTACTTGAGCACAGCAAAGCTTTCCTGGATTACTTGGGATTGAATCCAACTGGAAAATGAGTGAATTAACTCAAGTGAAACCCCATGTTCTTTAGCCTGGTCTGGCAGGGTGGTTAGCACACACACTGGGGACAGTTTGGTTGGGGTGTAAATAGTGGCTGTTTGCAGTTCAAATGC